TGGGGGTGTAAGCTCTCCTGCAGCCCCCCAATTGCCCCCTCTTCCCAGATGGCAGCCTGCGGCAAGTGCAGCCGGCTGATGGCTGAGTGCTGTGATGTGCCCAGTGTGGGCACTCTGAGCACTCCAAGCCAGGACTGGTTTTCAAGCGGGGCACCCCTGAGAACTGTCTGTCCGGGGTGGGGGTCGGGACCCTTTAAGCGCAGCCCTCGGCTAGCCTGAGACCGCATCTCCACGCTCTAAGTCCTCCTCTGATGCCCTGCCGGTACTGCTTCCGGCCAGCCTTAAGCCCTGTTCAGAGTCCATGTCCGGGGTGGGGGTCGGGACCCTTTAAGCGCAGCCCTCGGCTAGCCTGAGACAGCATCTCCATGCTCTAAGTTCTCCTCTGATGTCCTGCCGGCACTGCTTCCGGCCATCCTTAAGCCCTGTTCAGGGTCCACTCAATGTGGACATGCTAGTTCGAATTAGCAAAACGCTAATTCGAACTAGTTTTTAGTTCTAGATGCGTTAGTTCGAATTAGCTTAGTTCGAATTAACTAATTCGAACTAAGTTAGTTCAAATTAGCGCTGTAGTGTAGACGTACCCCTATATACTTCCCTGAAGTGTCATGTGTCTCAGTTCACTAAAATTCATAAAGCATTTTCACGTCTTTGGCTACTGCAAATGTGTATTATTCTGGAGGATTCTGATTTGCCGAGGCTGTGTGTCATTCTGGAAACACTATTTTCTGGAGTCCTAATACCTTGGGGTATGTCTACACTACAGTGCTATTTCGAATTAACTTAATTCAAAATAGTTAATTCTAATTAAGCTAATTCAAAATAATGCATCTATATACAAAACCTATTTTGAAATAGCTTTTTGCTATTTCGAAATAGCACGTCCACACTGAGTGGACCCTGAACCGAAGTTAAGGCTGGCCGGAACCAGTGCCGGCAGGGCATCAGGTTAGGACTTAGTGTGTGGGGCTGCTGCCTGAGGCTAACAGAGCTCCGTGCTTAAAAGGACCCTACTCCCAGCCCGGACAGACAGTTCTCAGGGTTCCCCGCTTGCTTGTCTACCCCGATGAGGGACAGCAAAGCAGTCCTGTCTTGGAGTGCCCTGAGAGCCCACACTCGGGACACCACAGCACTCGGCCACATGGAGCCAGAGCTGCCTCTGGGCACACCGGTGCCTCTTGTGGGGTCGTTGCCATCAGCCCGGCTGCACTTGCTGCAGGCTGCCATCCAGGGGGTCCATCGGGGGACTGTCAGGATCCACGAGGCCCTGAGGGAGAGCATCCACCCTGAGAAGCCCTCAGAACCTCCCCACCGGAGGCTCGTGCCCCATTGTTCCCTCACGTCCTTCCACTTACCCCTCCCCAGCCCCCCTTCCTGATGTCAAATAAAAGACACGTATGTTCAAAAATAGAAACTGGGTTTATTGAACAAAACTGGGGGGGATGAATCTCTGGGGAGACTGGGAAAAGGAGGTGAGAAAGGGGAAGAGAGGGAAGGGGGAAACCTGGGAGGAGGGAGCTGGAAGGGAGAAGCAAGGGGAAGAAGGGGGAGGGGAAGCTCAGGGCAGTGTAGACATACCCTATGAGATAATGATATTGGGGTGATAATTGGGGAAGCTATCTTTGTAATGGGGAAGGTAGTTAGCATCTCTGTTAAGGCCCATTTGTAAAGTGTCCAATTTAAGCAAGAATGACATGACAGTTCTGAGGCTTCCCTTTGTAGTCTGGTGGCCATTCGAGTTTTCTTGCGCAAGAGAGAGTCTACACTGGCACGGATGCTCTTGCATAAAAGCACATCTCTTGCGCAAAGGCACATGCCAGTGTAGACGCTATCTTCTGGAAGAGTTTTTGCACAAGAACTCTTCTGCAAAAGAGTTCTTGCGCAAAATCATGCCTCCTGGGGAGCGGTGGAGGGCTGGCTGCCAGTGTCTTGCTGGCTCATGTTTTGGGGCCACTGGGTCAGGGACCCTGGTGGCCTCTGCTGGCTCTGGGCTGGCAGACTTGGAGTTGGTACAGGCACTGTGGCCAGGGTCTACCCCTTTAATGTCTCCGGGCTGGGGGAGAGGAGAGTAAGCTTTCTTGGTTGTGCCCAGAGTGGCCACCAGGGCTCCCTGGGAAGGGCTGGAGGCCCCCTATTTCGAATTAAGTGTCTACACAGCACTTAATTCGAAATAGCTATTTAGAATTTGATGTTACTCTTTGTAAAATGAGGTTTACCTAATTCGAAATAAGGGCTCCACTATTTTGAATTTATTTCGAAATAGCAGTTTGCCTGTGTAGACGCTATTAAAGTTAATTCGAAATAACTACTGTTATTTCGAATTAACTTTGTAGTGTAGACAGACCCTAGTAGAATGGCACCACAAATACATTTGACCTTTGATAATAAAACACTGCTTTGGCCATCTAGATGGGTTTGGAGTTGGAAGGATATTTGGGATTATCTTTATTTCTGTGACACTAGCAATCCTTGCCTTATACACACTCCGCAGTTTAAAAGTCCCATGGTCCATATATTTACACAGCTGTGTAAACTACTCCTCTGTTTCGCTCCTTCTTCAGGTGCCAGCTATTATCTTGTAAGGCCATCGCTTTGGTATGACTGGTTCTCTGCCTGGCGTTGTGTCCTTCTTTACAGAGCTGGACAGCTCTGCAAGGACAAAACCTCATTGGGCCAGGGGGGCTGGGCAGGAGCCTAACAGGCTGACAGTATCTGCAAGAAGCACTGGGGGTATGTCTACACTACCCCGCTAGTTCGAACTAGCGGGGTAGTGTAGACATACCCCTAGTGAAATAGTTTTTCCTAATATCCCAACCTGGACCTCTCCCACTACAACTTGAGACCATTGTTCCTTGTTCTGCCATCCATCACTCCGGTGAACAGCCTTTCTCCAGCCTGGAACCTGCTTGTCCATTGTAACAGCTGTCAGTGGCAGCCACCAGTCTATTGCCAAATGTCTGCTTCCCCCCCGGAGCTCTTGGTCGAAAAGGGACTGGAGCGGCACCGGTCAGCATCGCCGACTGGGCCATTACAAGGTTAGTCCACACCTGCCCTAGCTCCACCCT